TGGCCTCCCCGCCACTATTTCTGGGTTCTTTGTATTTTTCTTTTTTTAGAATATCCTGCAATACTTTCTGTAGAGTTGAATTGGTGGTTGCAAATTCCCCCAGTTCCTCTTTATCCTGGAAGCACCTTGTTTTTCCATCAATTTCCAGGGACAGTTGTGCAGTATATCTCAATCTTGGCTGGAGATTATTATCTTTCAATGCTTGAATTATTTCCCCCCATGCTCTTCGTGATTTGATGGTTTGTGCAGAGAAATCTGCTGTAATTCTGATGGGTGTTCCCTTGTAAGTGGTCTGTTTCTTGTCTCTTACAGCTTTTAATATTCTGTTCTTGTATTGAATTTCTGGAATTTTTATTATTATATGCCTGGGTGTTGCTCTGTTTGGGTTGTAGGTAGCTGGGGTCCTGTATGCCTCATACATCTGAGTATCTTTACCTTTTGCTAAATTAGGAAAATTCTCCTGGATTATTTCTGTGAGTAGCTTTTGTAGTTCACTTGTTTGCATCCCTACTTCTTCTTTTATGTTCTTAATCCTTAAGTTATGGATCCTCTTATCATCTTCTTGTCTTTGTATTATTGCTGTTTGTTTCTTTGTTATTTTTAAGAAGTTTTTCATTTCATTCTCCCATATTACAAGTCTGCCCTCCAGTTCAGATAGTCTGTCCTTAGTTTCTTTCAAGCTGTTATGCCAGTCTTCGATAGACTTCTTAGTATCTTGGTAGTCCCTTTGAACCTGCTTCACGTATTCTATGCTTTCTCTGTTTTCTCCATCAAACAATTCTCCCCTTTTTTTCTGTTCTTCCATTCCACCACCTGTTTTTTCTTGGGTGGTGCTTAGCATTTCTCTAACTATTCTGCATACTTCTAGCTTCAGGTCGTTGATAACTTCATTCCTGAATTGGTCTATGAGGCTCTCTATATGGTGCCTTATGTGTATTGGTGCGGTGTCTGCTATTGCCTGTTTCTCAGAATTGGGGGCCGAGGAGCCTTTCTTGTTGCTGCCTCTTCCCATGCTGCCTCTTCTTCTCTGTTCCTTATATATGCAAGCTTATATAAGAGGCCCAGCTTCTCTCCCAGTCAGCCACAGCCTGATCGAATTGCGCCAGTTAGGTGTTCCCGCTCACCGCTGCGCACCAGGGAGTTACGGACCAGGCAGCCTACGCATCTCCCCTCCCGGCCACCGTCAGGCTCTGGGATCTGGGTTGGGACAGTCTACCAGGTCCGCCGGCAGCGTCACGCAGGCCAGGCACTTTTCACCAATCCCGCCCGAGAGGGGGATGTGTGGCTGGAGTCACCACCGCGCCCTGCTCCCGCAGGACTGCTCGGGCCCAGAAAGTCCTCTGCTGGAGTCAAACTGTGGTAGAGTGTCAGTTTCTCTCACTCACCTCACCACAAGTCAGTGCACGCCTCCCTGCCGTTCGCAGATTGCCGTTCTCAGAGCTTCTGCGCGTCTCTCCCCTTGCCGAGCCACTGTAGAGGCAGCCAGCCGCCGTGCGGCGGGAAACCCAAATCGCGGCTTACAATGGCGCGGTTCCAGCCTCCACACCGAGTCTTTTCTGTTCCTGTTTTAGCACCAGGACTGCATTCCAAGTTGGCTTCTCTCAGCCCAGTTCGTTCCTGAGTCAGCAGAGCATATCTCCACCTGCTTATGTCTCCTTAGTCCGCACCATTCCTGGCTTCTGAGCCGAGTCTTTCAGAGAGCCGCCGGTAGTTGCTGTTATCTGTCCGCCATGTTCTCCCGGAAGACAACTTCTGACTTCCTACTCCTCTCTGCACGTCCCCCAACCCCTCCACATATGACCTGGAATTGCGGTTATTCATGGCATCTCCTCCTTCAGGAACATGAGCTCCTGGAAGGCAGGGCTGGCTCCCAGCACAGCTACACTCACCTCTCTTGCTCATATATCCTCATTCCAAGTTCATGAGTGGGATCCCAGCACTCAGTACTGCAGCTAATGATCATATTCCTGTGCCTCTGAAATTGAATTACTCACATGATTCTAGGATATGTACCTTCTAGTATATTCTTCTAGGATGCACATGATGGGGAAAACAGGCTCCTGGTACAACAGACTCAGCTTTCTTTTCAAAGGATGCTGTAGGCAGGTCTGAGGTATGTTTGCATATTACATTTTCTCCAGTTTTTAAGCTGCAGTGACTTCTGGCCACTACGCAATACAGGAAGCACCTTCTCTTTCATTCTGCACAGCAGGACTATTGGAGCTTTGGCCTTCCCTAGAAAAACTGGGAAAGACAGTGCTGCAGGTTCTGAGAGGGGTAGGACTGTCCCATCATTTCAGAACACTGGGCCAGTGATCCTGGCCACTAGGAAACAATTACATGGCCTGTTCATATCTTTGGGGTGACTAAAAACTGAGGGGGAGGTCAAGAGTTTTGCAACAACTACAAGGAGTTTCTGAAGAGTTCTTATCATGAGGGAGGATTGTGCAGCCTTCTTCGACCTAGGGAGTCTCTAGGTTGTGTTTGGGAGAGAAGCTGGCAGGAGACCTGTGGGACCCTGCAGAAGCTCTAAAGGGGTGGACATGGCCTTCATGGGTGGGGGCAGAGTTGCAACACTGGTAGAACCCAGAGCAGGGATTTCAAAGAGGAGGTAAACCAAGACCAAGACAGAAAAGGTGCTGCCAGCAAGCCTTGCTTGCCCTGCTCAGCACATTCTCCACGAGCAGTGGGCAGGGCCTTGCCCCCTAGGCCGTGTCCCTGCTGTCCCTCCAAGCCCTCCTACAGCTTTTGTTTTTTCCTCCTGGAAGTTATGTGCATGAATTGCCATGCACCAATTTTGTAATAATCCTGCAGAACCAGTTCAGTTGGTTAAAAATATTAAAACACCTATAAATAGCACTTGTGGAAGATGATACCCATATTGAAAATAAATATTAGAGATGTACACAATGTACAGTACTTTGTGATTTGTCTTCCTGGACAAGTTTGAATTAATGGTATTCAAATTTTATGATAAGAGTATTATTTAATTCGAGAAATGTATAATTTGTGGTTGGCACTGTGCTAGGCTAAAGCAAATAGCTCTTGGGAACATAAATAACCGTGAGTTCTATTTAGTATGAATGCCACAGTCCTGTTTTGAAATATCATGTAATTCACAAAAGCAAATAAACAAACATATAGCATAATCAATTGCTATAAAGACACATCAAGAAATTAGCACTCATCAAAAATTAAAATATCAACCAAATACTGAAAAATCTTCCTCAACTGTGGCAACATCCAAAACAGCTTTGGTTTCACTCATTTCTGAACTTCCTATGTATATCAAAGTCAGATGGTTTGTGCTCTTATAGCTGGCATCTCTTATTCCTCCTTGTGTTCCTGTGATTCATTTTTGTTGTATGTTCTGTCATTTTCTTGACTCAACAGTGTGATGAATATATTCTACAGCTAATGCACCCATTTTACTGTTTTGGACATTTAGATTGTTTTCAGTTCCGAGCTCTTATAGAGGTGTAATCATACATATTTGTATAGCACAAAAACACATTTACTCACAGAAATACCCAGGTCCCAGGTGGCATAGTTACAAGATGCAAGCAGACAGGATCTTTAAGGTCACTAACAGATGGGTTAGACAATGGAAAGCCACCAGAGCTCACGGTGCCACACTGCTGGGTCTCCTAGCAATACCCAACAAGGGCTTGCTGCTAAATATATGTATAGAAACCACCACTATGGCACTGGTTTTGCAAAAAGAGGTGTGTTATTATTAGGCCATCAAGTAGGCAAGGAACGTATTCAAACCTGCCTCCCTGGTGGGGCACAAAGGAGGAATCACATTGCTCAGGTTAAGGGGAAATGGAGAGCCAACTGGTTTTAATGGGTGAGTTTCATGTCTTTCCTCATTCTGGCCCATCCTGCAGTTCTAGATGACACCCCAACTTCTAATCTCTGTCTGCAGGCCACTCACTGATCTAACTCATCATATTCTGCCCCTGGGACACTTCTGGTTCAGACAGGCTGTCAGGGTCCTTTAAGGTCAGGTCCTGGGATTTTATGTCCAGAAAACTGCCCTTTTATAGCTTAACTTCAGCAGGGCCAGAGAAGTGCTCATTACCACCCACTGATCCTAGATTCAAGTTCCCATCCTCTTGACAAAGCTTCTCTGCACTCCTATAATCGCTGCCATACTTCCAGGTCTGATTTATACTATTTACAACCACATGATGGGTATTGGTTAATTGTTCAGGCCACTTAGGTTTGGATCCCGACACTGTTACTTCCTAAAGTGTGGAACTCAAATTTTTCATTTTTAAATAAACTCTTGCCTCAGGGTTTCCTGTCTGTGAAATGGGTACAGATGATGATAAGATTTAAAAATGAGTTTAGGCAGAGTATTTACCACAGTGTCTGCTACATAACAATATTTCTCAGCTCTTGCTGTAATAACTGCTACTACTACTATATTGCATACATACTAACATTCAGGGCACACCCATACCAGGAACTCCAAAGGGACAGCCCTGCTTTGACCATAGGCAGGAGGAAGTCAGAGAGAAGAAAAGCAAAGATGATCGGTCAGTTTATTTTCAGGTAATACTAATATTACCAAATTGCATTTAAATAAACGAAGGAATTGGGGCCACAAGGAAGTTCATTGGACCCTGAGTAAGAGAAGAAAATTAAACAAGCATCAACAGTAAGGGGTATCCTTTTGTGCCCAAAGAATACTTGATTCTAGAAGACCTAGAGGTTGCCTGTCATTCTGTCTCAGAGGACGCCGCAGCCAGGACACTACCATCTGCCCTTTGGTGGGCGTTGCATAGGAGGCCCAGAGCGCCACGTGCGTGGGGGAGGGGACCGGGGACAGCCAAGGAGAGCAGAAAGAGCAGCGGAGGAGGTATGGGGGGAGGGAAAGGGTATAGAGAGGAGGAGACGGAACCTGGACAGGGGGAGGAGCTGGGGCAGGGGAGGAGGAGGAGGAGCGGGAGAAGCCAAAAGCGGCCCGAGCTTGGGTCCCCGCGGGTTCGGGGACGCGGCGGCGGCGCGGTGCAGGGCCACGACGCGCAGGCGGGGGCGCTGTGGTCTCGCTGGGCGATCGCGGCGCCAGGCCCGCCTCTTTCTCCGCCCGCCGCCCGTGCCGCCGGGAAGCCGGGAGGAGCAGGCCCGGCCACAGTGCGGCCGAGCGTGTAGAGTCGCCCCGCGCAGCGGCGACCTCGCGCCGCCTTTGTCCGCGGCTGGCCGCAGAGCCCCGTGGGGACCGCCTGCGATGGCCCCGCAGCAGGGGCGGCCCGCACTGCCCGCGCGCTGCGAGCCCCCGCCCGTGCCGCCCCGCCGGGAGCGCGGAGGGCGCGGGGGGCGCGGGCCCGGGGCGCCGGGGAGCCGGGGGCGCGCGGGGGGCCCCGAGGGGCGCGGCGTCAAGTGCGTGCTGGTCGGTGACGGCGCCGTGGGCAAGACCAGCCTGGTGGTGAGCTACACCACCAACGGCTACCCCACCGAGTACATCCCCACCGCCTTCGACAACTTCTCGGGTGAGCGCGGGGCGGGCGCGCGGGACACTGCCGAGCCTGCTTCGGGGCGCGGGGTGTGGGGGATCGGGTCCGGTCCAGTCGGTTGTAACTCCGCGGGGCGTCGCGGCGCTGCGCGCGGCTTTGAAGAGCCGCCGCAGTGCGCCCCGGTGCCGGCCCCGGGCGGGCGAGGGCTGGGCCGGCGCAGAGCCTTCCTTTCTTCGGCCCGGGCCGCCCCTCCCTGCCGGCTCGGCTTCTGGTGGCATCGGCTTTCTTTAACCTAGGCAAGTTTTTACCTATGGGGTTCGGTGACATACAAAGATAAAAGAATCCTGTATCGTGATTTCTCAGATCTTTTTGGATTTTAAGAAAAAGTTAGAATTCACGAAAGCTGTTGGCTCATTAAAAAACGATGTGCCTCCTGTGACCTGCGGAGCCAGATGGCCAGGGCCTGACACCCCGGCGCCCCCACTTAGAGGCACCTTAGGTGAAGCCCAGCGGTGTTGCTGGTTGCCTTCCGAGCTGCCTGTCCCAAGCGTTTACAATTACCAGGATGTGCGCAAAAAGAGTGCATAATTCCAGTAGAAGCCGTAGCCTCTCCCACCCACATGATCACTCTGTGGAAGCTAGCAGGCTTTTTCTCTTCTCCTCCTCTTTTTGATCCTGTTTCTGAACAGACAGGGATGGGGGTTATCTGCTTCTAGACACAGGGATTTGTAGCTTGTGTTTGTACAAGTTCCTGAAATGGTTTTTATGATAAACCATGAAGTCAGGAACTTTTCCTAAGGGAAAAAATTATTTGTGAAGTTTTCAAGATTCAAATTTTCCAAGCTGGCTCCTTCTAATCCTCTGTGTTGCTTTTAAGTCCTTTGAAACAAGTGTGATAGGAAAATATAAATCTTCCAAGGCTGGGAGGAAAGCTCAGACCTTTCAGGGGCAACAGCCAGGGCTCAGGGATAGCTGTCCTCTGGCTCTTGCCTGGGGAGGGACCTGCCAGACCTGGAGGTCTGGGTACAGAAATACTCCCATGGCTCTCCCTGTTCCAGAAAGACCCAAAGCAAGACCCCAGCACTTTGTATCAAGAATGGTTAGGCAAGCTGAGACTGTCAGCCCTCTGGAAGGGTAAAAGACTCCTCCTGATAATCATCTGTCTTGTTTTCAAGCTGTGGTGTCAGTGGATGGGCGGCCTGTGAGACTCCAGCTCTGTGACACTGCAGGACAGGTCAGTATCATGTTACACTCAGCACTGGGAAAGGAAACGGCCTTTTAAAGGGTTCCAAATGACCTTTGCTGTTTCTACTGGTCGCCTTAGTAACTGGGTCTTTCTGAAGCTTCCTGGGTGGTGGGTGGAAGGTGGTGGGTGGGGTGGACCCACCCCTGGGCTGGCCCCTGGTGGAGTGGGAATGGGGGAGAGGGGTCATTGAAGACACCTCTGAAACAGCAGAGTCCGCCTGGCCTTGCCACTCTGGCCAGAAGAGGAGGGAGTAGGAAGCAGCAGCAGAAACAGCTCTTATCTTATGGAGCTCCTGATGTCCCTCACGTTCTGGTTTTTATCAAAAAACTGATGCTTTGTAATCATTTCTCACGTAGGCTGGTGATACCTTATAGTCATCTTATTAAAGGTCAGAGATAACCAAGAATTTGCTCAAGGAGATGGAGTTTTGTGAGTAAGCATCAGTGCTTCCCTTTTCTCACTGTGATTTGACCTCGGACCAGCCCCAGGCTCGAACAGAGATGTGCTTGCAGGGCTGCTCCAAGCTAGAGGAAGGGAGGAGTGCACCCCAGTCAAGAGTATTTATTCTTACCTCAAGGACTAGGCACTTGGCAGGAACAGCCAGGGAGGGATGAAGAGGGTGTGGGATTCTCTTGGTGTTCCCAGGAGGTGTTGGACTCATCATCACCCCTGAGATGCTCCAGCCACCAAGGATGTTCTGAGCCTCCAGCCCTGCTTGTTGCTCAAGTGGTAGTTGATGAACTTGTCTCCAGTGTGTCCACAGTTTGGAGAAGCTCCAGGGGCACCAAGTGTCTCCTCATTTTCTTAGGTGCCAGGAGGTATCCGTTGTGTTTGTGAAGTTGTGTTTCTAGGGAATCTCAGCACCTCATCCAAGTCAGGACTTCCAAGCTGCTCACCTGCCCCAGGACAGCATACCAGGGCTGAGAGAGATTTTATTTTCTAGACCCAAAGAGACAGAAGGCTGAGCAGCCTTGATCCCTGTGGAAGACCAATCTGATAGTACCCACAGCAGTGTGAGTTGACACCCAGCCTCAGAGCTCCACAGTTCTCTTCACCATGAGTGAGGAGAAACCAACCATGAGGTGTATTTTATTGCTGCAGGACAGAAAAATCAAAGGATACAACCTCTTCTGGTTCTTGTTCTTTCTGAATGCCACATAGGTATCAGTAATTCAGGTGGCACTGTTTTGTGTAAAGTAAGAGAGTGAGGTTTCCCATCTGTAGAAGGTGGGCAGGGGAGCATCTCAGGACTTGGAACTCCTTGGGGAACAGCCTGAGGACCAGAGATAAAGCAGGAAAATACAGGAGCCCCAAGGAACAGATCCTAGGGGAACCAAGGCAGAGCTGCTTTCAGACGTTGTTCAGGTATCACTAGCTGCCACCAGGCTCTGGGGCGCATACATGAGTCACAGGTCTGCCCTCCACAGAGCTGGAGGATAGCTGGTGTCTGCTGGTTGGGAAGAGAACAGTGTAGTGCAGATACAAGGCCTCAAGCCACCGTTAGGGGCCTTCAGGTGGGCTTTGGAAGGAGTCCCTTGACACTAGGAAAATTTTGAAAAAATAATGCAAATCATCAAAGAAGAGTTGGATTTTTTCCTTAGTATCATCTGTTTAAAAATAGGGAAGCAAAGAATCATTTTGGAAATACTGTCACAAAGTTTGTACTGGAAGGTTTGTACTTGTAAGGTTTGGTACTGGACTGATAAGCTTTACTATATTTGGAAATTGTTTTTTCAGTTTTCCTCAAAGCTTTTGTGAGTTAACACTCCTTAATGTTTGTACTGGCTGGTGAAGAATACCTTTTAATAACAAATAGGGCACCATCTAAAGATCAGTATAGAGCCAGCTTCAAAAACTAATTTTGTGTTTGTTTGTTTGTTTGTTTGTTTTAATACCAGGAATTGAACTCATGACCTAGCACTTGTCAGGCAGGCACTTGTGCTGCTGAGCTAAAACCCTGGCCCCAAAAACTAATTTTGAAAAGTACCTCAGGCCAGGTATTTTCCCTGCTCCTTTGCACAAGGTCAGCCTTGGTTTAGACTGCAGCAAAGCTGTCAGAGTGGCAGTCCTTTTCTTCACTCCCTGGTTCCCATCTTGTAAACATCTTGGTTTTTTTGGTACTGGGGATCGAACTCGTGGCTTTGCGCTTGCCAGGCAGGTGCTTAAGCCACTGAGCCAAATCCCCAGCCCTGTAAACTTCCTTTTGAGGGACTTGATGTGACATCTGCCACATGTCCTTGTAGCCCAGAGAAGGAATATATTCTCACTTGGGTAGAAGGAGCATGAAGGCTGATTGACTGATTCTGGGAGCTGTGGGGGCTAATGAGCTGGGAGCCCAGGAAGGCCTGGCGCTCACTTCTGGTGTCTCGGCGTTTACAGAGAAGGCTGGTGTGTCTGGTGATGTAGATGGAGCTTTTAAAACTGTACTCATGGAGTCTGGTGCAGATAGGACAGAGATGCATGGACAGCTCCAAGAAACATGCCTTTGGCTGCAAGAAGGGCGTGCAGCTGCAGGTGTATTCTGCAGATTCCCACAGAGGCTGAACATCCTTTAGCTTTTTGACCCATCAGATACTTGGGGAAGAAAATCAGAGTGTGGCCTGACCAGAGGATGTTCCAATTCAGTCTCCTCTGTCTGCTGGTCCTGCCCCAAACAAAGGTCTGTGCAGCATTTACACTACAGGCTTGGAGAGCTGAGCTGCAGTTGCCTGGCAGGGTTTCTGAGTTTATTTTTTTGCAGCACAAAGTTGGCTCTAAGAAACAGTAGTTATGTTCTTTCAGCTTTCACTTAGAGTGCCTCACAGGACAGGGACACCCTGGGTACTGAGGTCTGAGTGTGTCCACAGGGGCAGTTAGTCATTTCCCCCAGTGGAGACTCTGATCCTCAGGTGAAGAAAGCACAGTCAAGTATGTCTGTTTCCCCAAGAAAGTGACTATGGGGCAGGGCAGGAGGAGAAAACACCTGTAAATAGGGCTTGGCCAATAACCAGAGTATTCCAGTTGGGTGATGAAAAACATACAAAAAATGTTTGGCCTCTTCTTGGCATTGGGAAATCATCAGTAACATTAGACCTAAGGTTGGCAGTGCCCACTGATACTTGTTTTATATGAGATGGTGTGAGCATTTTTCCCAGGAAAGGACTGAGTACAAGTTTCTGGTTGGTTGAGTTTGGGACTGTGAGCAGTACTGGATGTTTGATAGGAGCCGAGGCTGATGTGGAGACTCCCATCGGACGCTGTGCCCGGTTGAGGATGGCATTTAAGTGTTTCTGTTGATGGTGTCCACAGCAGAGCCCTAATGCCAAGTAGGTTATTTATTTTTAATCCAGTCTCGCTCCTTTGGTTAGGCCTCTACAGCATAGGGCAAATGTGCCTGTTCTTTATTTTTTTTTTTTTATCTGTCCAAAGCACCGTGCATGGAACCTCAGGGGCAAAGATCAAGGCCAGAGCTAGGAAGTAAGAGAAAAATGAAGCCAGGATGGGGAGAGAGGATACAGTCCAAATGAGACTGTATTAACCAGTGTCTGTAATACTGGGATACCCTTTCTCTGAGCTGTCAATGACTGACCTAACACAGGTCCCAGCTCTTTCTTGAGTGTGCCCTGTGTCTCATTCACATTATTTTGCACTTTGTGTGTACTGGGCAGGTGAGATGGAATCAGCATGGATCATACGTAGCTGTTTCAGGGAAGGGCAGAGCTATGAAGAGTGGAGCTGTATTAGTAGATGGAGCTTGCCAGGGCCAGTTTGGCGTCTGAGTGCCAGTAAGATATGCTCTGAACTTTAACAGAGTTGAGAGAATCAGTTAGGATCACTGTGGGCTGAAGACAGATTGAAGCAAACTGGCTCTAGACACCCTGCTTTAAATGCCTTTCCTATGGTACCTATCCAGGTGACCAGGAACTCCAGGGACATATAGAGCAGTTTGCATTGTTAGGGCTGCACTGGCCATGGAGCTGGCCTTGTGCCCCCTGGCAAGCAGCAGGGTTGGTTCCGAAACACTGGCTGTTCCTTGTAGCTGAGTAGGCTTCTCGTTATTGGCCAGGGTTAGCTGAGTTGTGTTAAGGTATCTTTTGCTGGTGAGAGCTGATTACCTGTGGGTAACTCTGGGTGTGTGCTTGATTGCAGGACGAGTTTGACAAGCTGAGGCCCCTCTGCTACACCAACACAGATGTCTTCCTACTGTGCTTCAGTGTGGTGAGCCCTGCATCATTCCAAAATGTCTGCGAGAAGTGGGTGCCTGAGATCCGATGCCACTGCCCCAAAACCCCCATCATCCTGGTTGGGACACAGTCAGATCTCAGAGAGGATGTTAAAGTGCTCATTGAGCTGGACAAATGTAGAGAGAAGCCAGTGCCTGAGGAGGCAGCAAAGCTGTGTGCAGAGGAAATCAAAGCCATCTCCTACATCGAGTGCTCAGCCTTGACTCAGAAGAACCTCAAGGAGGTATTCGATGCCGCCATCGTGGCTGGCATCCAGCACTCAGACTGCCAGCAGCAGCCCAGGAAGTGCAAGAGCAGAGCCCCGGACAAAGTTAGGACCCTCTCCAAGTCCTGGTGGGGAAAGTACTGCTGCCTGGCATGACGCTACGGAGCTGTACAGACAGCCACCTCTGAGGTGGTGCTAAGGGGAATGACTGCGTGTTTGTGTGTGTGCGTGCATGTGTGAGAGAGAAAACGCACACAGAGGAGCCCAAGCTTGTGCATTCCTCCATCCCTTACATTTTCTTGCTTGTTGGAGCTTAGCAATGAGATTCTTGTACAAGATAAAAAAGGTAAAGGAATTTTGGAATAAGTTAAGAATTTTTTTTCACAACTCTGGAAATTTAGAGCTCTAGACCTCTGGATTAATTTATATCTAATGTGGAAAGAACACCTCAAAGCTGGATGTCAAGAATGAAATTTTGCTATATCACCATGAACAGACAGATGAAGCGGGGTGTTGTGGTTTTGACCCTCTGGATTAAGGGCTGCTTGGTGCTTGGTGCATTGTGTGCACATGGCAGCCTTTGTGAAAACATCTCAGCTTTGAAACTCCGTGAAACCATACCTTTTTGTTTTTAAGAGTAAAAAAAGTCAGAAAACAGTGAGAGACCTCTACGTACAATCCTTTGTCATCAATAATACTCAATTGCTTAAGTTTTGCAACCAAAAAAAAAAAAAAAACATTCCCACTGATTGCTGGCACTGGGTAGACCAAAAAGGAAGATTGTTTGAAATTGGGATTTTTTTTCATCCTAAAGCCAATTGCGCCCACACTGTATGAAATGAGCCAAAATGCCCTGCGGAAGGCCCTGCCAGCACAGCTCTCCTACTGTCTTTGAGGAGTAACTCACATTGAGATCAGAGGTTGTGGTTGCTCTCAGGGCTAACTTGTCCCTAGGCCACCTAAACCTGGTGATGGGGCCAGAGGGAGCTGCTGTCTGGTGTTGAAAGCTATACCCTGCTGCCCATCCACAGGACAGTGATTGCAATGAGAGGTGCAGCAGATGCTGTGGGACACTGGCACCTTTCCCCTCGAGTCGGCAGAAGTCCTCTGTGGGCATGCGCGTGTGCGTGCGTAGGCATGGTATTGGCTGCAGTTTCAGACTTTAAACGATTTTTGGGGAAGTGGCCACAAGGCCTGTCAGAGTGGCTTAGCTTCCACTTCTTTTCACTGCTTCCTGGAGCAGATATCTTTTTGATTGTACGCTAGCTTATGGTTTTAAATTTATCTTAATTTGCACACTTTTGAGACCACTTTAAAACAAGTAGAATGAACACATCTAGAGACCTGTTAGGACAGCCAGTTCATTCCCCAGTGGCTCCCAGAGGCCGGCAGCAGAGAGAGCACTGTGTCAGGCCCAGGTGTGGCCACCAGGTGTATCCTTGCTGGGAGACATTGACAAAGCCATACTCATGAGACCCTTAAAGCCAAACCTTCTGAAGACAGTTCTGATGAGAGATCTCTTGTGTGGGATGGGTCTGCTCCCAAGATGCCTCAGTGGCTGGACATTGAGTCATAGTGTCAGGTTTGCCCTGCATGAAGCAGTCACCAAAGTCACTTCGACAGCTAGCTGGGGACATCTCCAGGAAGCCAGTGGGTAGCAGGTTTTTATCTCTGTGGGTTTTGTGTTACCTTTTTTATAGTTAAAAAAAATCTAGTTTTTATTTTTATGTAGAAAAACAGTAAAAGATCATACCATTGTTTTGGGCTTCTTTTCTAGGTAGTAAATAATTTTAAGGAATTTGTTCAACAAAGGTTAATCTTTAAACCACTAAAATACACAGACTGTTTACTATTGATTTTTCTACACATTGAAATTGGTATCGGCCCTAGTTTCCTGGAGTGTTTAGTTAAACCTGAATGAAAAAAACTGCTTCAGTTTTGGAAATGCTTGTAGCAGACTGACTTCCTGTAGCCATCTAGTTGTCCCTGGCTTTGCTCCCTGGAAAGCAGGTTTCCAGATGAGGCCCTGTCAGCAGAGTGGGGAGGGACTGGTTACTTAACTGGAAGTCCTTTCACGAGTTATAATAAAATGTACAAAGGCAAATGAGTTTTTAAGGCAAAACCCAAACTTGAAAGAAGTCTGCACTGTGACTGTCTGGGCTGTCCCCTCTGCTGTGGGGTATAATGGGAGGCCGTCAGTGCAGGGTGCTGCCTGACCCCATTCTGGAAGCTTCACTCAAAGGTTTGAGTGCTTGTGTCTAGCTGAGTGACATTTAAATGCCACCGTTTTTAGTTACTGTATGTTGCTGCATTTATAAAATAATGAGGTATGATTGTACTTGAAGTTTTCCTCCATTTTTCCTGAAAAGTAGAGATATAGACTGAGAAAAATTTAAAGATAGTATGTTTGGATTAAATGACTCACTGCACAGCTGAAATGGTTAAATGTGCAGCTTGGTTTGCAGAGGGTTTCAGGCCTAAGTCCTACAGTCCAGGCTGATACCATAATGTAGAAACACTGAGCTGGGCTCCAGACTGTCTTCCTCCTACTACATGTGAGTAAATGGACATTTCGCAACCTCCCTTCTCTGCTTGGCCGACTTACAAGCCCAGGAATCTGCCCAGGAATCTCACAAGCCGAAGTGGGAGCAGGGCTCCTCTCTAGCCTGCCACAACCTGGTGCCTTATGAAGTCGTCTCTTTTGTGTCCATGTGTGAATGACACTGGGCAGAATCCTGTACTTGAAAATGCTGTAAACGGTGTGGTATGAAATAAATTCTCACCTGTGGATTCTACTGTGTGGTATTCTATCTTGGCATGCCAAGGTGAGGAAGGGTTCTGGCACTGAAGAAACATGCCCTCTCCTCAAATTCTGTAGGAGGTTGTGGACTCTGGGGTCTTGGGCTGATGACAGGGTCCTTGTGACTAAACCTGCTGCCGGGGCCATGTGTCAGAAATCTGGGCTCCAGAGGCCTTAACGGGGGACAGACCACTAGTCCTGAGAGGTAAACCAGTTCCTTACCAAAATGAGTCGTGAAAAAGGATCAGTGTCAGAGGTCTTAGGTCATAGTAGAAAGGTTCAAAAGCCAAGGGCCCATGAGTCCCCAGCAACGTGGCTGAGGCCTGGGGTGCTTGTCCCCTGAGGGTACACAGTGTGCCAGTGCACTGTGACCCTTGAGTTCAGACCTTTCATGTCTAGGATGCAGGCAGGTCCTGGGACCAGGCTGACCAGGACAGCAGTGCTGCTGTTACAAGCCTGGAGGAGGGCTGGGCTGTGGCTCCTTAGCTTCTTGCCCTGCAACCCATGGCTGAACACTCCAGCTTGGGGCTAGGGACAGCCTTGCCATGGAAAGAACAGCTGTGGGCAGGAAGTGCAGTGCCTGCTCAGGAAAGGCCCTGGTGCTGGGCAGACCTGGGCGACTCTGCAGGTCTCCTCACAGCGGGTCCTTCTGTCCACAGAAGCCATGACTGATCACTGATGGTCTCTGCCTTTGTGTCTGTCACATTTTTGGGGGGCTCATACATTTTATACATAATGGCACATTACTTTTTTCATCTCCAAGTAATTTTTATAAAATTGCAGCAGTTTCTTGGATAGCTCCCATGCTACCCAGGCTTGCTCTGGAAAATCTGTCATTCTTGCTTACCTGTGGCACCTGGGAGAATAGATTGTCCTTCTACATAATAATCTTAACCTTGCAGATAGTGAAGTAGTCACATGTGAATTCAGTTCACAAGATGGTTTCGGAAGAATGTGGGCAAGGAAGCCATGCGGGTACCATGTAAAGCTGTGGCCTCCTGGATCCCAGGTTCCTATTGGGCTTTCCCCTCACATCCATATGCAAGAAGCTCTTGCTCTAGACTAGTACATCTACACATTTTCGCATTTGCATATTTGCACCACCACTTGGTTTCCTGTCCAGCACAATGAGTGCCCCTAACAAACACAGTCTTGGAAGGACACAGCTTGCCTATGAGGAGTGCATGAACATATGCCATAATGATCCCTGAGAAGGGCCAAGTCCTGAAGCAGACACCTCATTTGCTTTGAACATGCCTTTGGGATCTCCCATAGCATTTCAAACTTAACTCACTATATGAGGTTCTTGTCACTATTTGCCCCTGGGATGCTCTGAGGATCTGTTACCTTGTCCAGCATCTGAAGTCACCCTGTGGCTCGTGGTCCTTGATGGTGGCCGAGCCCTCCTCATGTGGAAGCATGCTGGCACTGGTGTTCCCACCTGTGCCTTCCTCAGGAAGGACCCTCAGGGTCCTCCCCAGGTGCTCTCCCCATCTCAAGGTCAGCTGACCATCAGCCTCCAGCTCCTGACTGTCCCTTTTGCCATGTGACCTGCACAGTCACAGTGCTCAGGGTCAGGAAGTGGGCATAACAGGGTCACTCCTCTGTTGACCACCCTCAGACTTTGCCTCTTGTTCCAGAGAGGGTCCACCTGCTGCTTTGTTCAGAAGGAACCAGGAAGCCCTCAGGCTTTGCTTCTTCTCTTTCCTGTGGCCTCCCTCAGTTAACCTTATAAGGGGAAAATTTTTTCCATTCTGCTACATGGAGTTAGCAACAGCAAAATGAAACTGAAAACCAAAAAAAGGATAGCACTAGGTATGCGTGCCTGTGCGTCTGTGTGTATGTTTTTGTAAGCATATGCATTACATCTGTATATATTTATATGAATAAGTGTGTTTGTATGCATGTATGTGTGTTTGTGTGTATGTATTTGTGGCTTTGTGTTTGTGTTTGCCTTTGTGTGGGGTATGTGTGTGAGGGATGCTGTGAAGCTCTAGATGTTACTGGCAGCCAAAGGGTAAGTTCTGGTGAAGACGACGTCCATGAACAAGGGAGCAGGAAGGTGAGAGATCCACTCACCCCAAGGTGAGTGGTCAGATGAGCAGCGGAGCCAGGCCAAGCTGACCTGAGAAGGGATATGGCACCAAGATCAGTAGGACTAGATGACTGTCTACCTAAGCACCTGAGGGGGACACACGGTGTCTCAGTCAGGTCTGGAGGGAGGAAAAAGGAAGTCATTCGGCAAAACTTAGCTTTACTGTGTGACACAGGACAGACATGCCAGGTCATCTTTCAGGGGTGAGGTCACTTGTGAGGCCTCTTGCACTGTATGTTTCCAGCCCATTGCAGAAATATCCTGTATTGTGAGAGGGATCTAATCTTGTCTGGATATCAATGAACATACAAAGACTCTCATCTGTGCTTATTCTTTAAGACATAATAAGTGTCTTTATTGAGCATTTCTGGGGAATCCCCAAAAGAAGACAGGGTACTGATCACACTCAGTCTTTGCATACCTCTTCTTGATGTGAGCAGCTTCTGGTTAACAATTTGGCTTAAATTTGGGTACTAAAATGCCAGTGTAAATCTCTTACACCTTTGTGTGTGTTGGACAGGATCGAAAAACATTCTCTACACAAATGTGCCTGTATTTCCTCCTGATCAGACCACTGGAGTTGTAACATCAGCTTAGCCTACATTGTTTGTCATTATGAAAGCAACTGCATGAGGATATGTATTCTTGTATCCCAGACATGCTGCTTTGAGGGTCTGAACTTAAAGAACAAATAGAGTTTAAATAACCCAGTATCCCTTAATACAAATGCCCTCAGAAATAACACATCAACCTCTATTTGATGCATGCTGAATAATAGTTATTTTGGGTTCAGCCTTAGGACAGGAACCAATATTACATGTGACAGTGGACAAGAGAAACACATATCAAGATCAAATATAAAATTTGTTATTTAATGACCACTGTTTGTATCCACTTCGTGAACTTAGATTGCAGCACCCAGATTGCAGAGCCAGAATTACTTTTTGAATCTTAAGGAAGGCCTCAGAGATACAAGATAGGAGCTGTGATACCCAGTGTGCCACTGACCTCACAGTATCAACTAAAGTGGTTGATTTGGCTTGACACATTTGCAAATCAAATTCTAGCTGGTAGAAATACAGAAATATCATGTATATTAATCATGCAAAACCCCAGATCTCCCTTTACCTGATCCCCTTTCTCCCATATCCCCTCTCTCCCCAGAGGTCCTCAGTTCCTCACATTCATTCTAAGTGAAATCTCAGTCCAGATGCTGAGCTAGCATTGCACACAGCTTGTGAGCCCATGAATGTTCTAAAACTAGACATAGCCATGGAGAAAAGGAATTCAGTATATGGTCTACCTCCTTGTCACTTCAGAGTCTAATTGATAGAGATAAGGGCAGGGTCACTAGGAGTAGGATTGCCTTTTGGACACTCTCAAATAATCTCTAAACTTGGCCTTATGTGACTGAAAGCCACCTCAACCAGGCTGTTCCTGTAATGGGGCACAGTGAAAGGTCCAGGTCCCCTCAGTCCCAGTTCCTTTACTGCCATTGAGTCAATTCTCATCTTTACCCCAAATTAATTGCCCAGGGGCTAGTGAAGGCCACGAGTTTCAATTTTAAAATGTAATTGATAGAAAGGGATTGATTTTTAATTTAAAAAACTAGTTATTTAGGTAACATAATGGATTTTTTTCTAATAAAAATGTTGGTAGAAAAGAGCAAGGATCAAAGAGAGTTTGTAAGAGAATTTTCTGGTAAATACCACAATATCTGAAATTTATGAGCCACACTCACAGAATGAAAACTATTTCACCTATTGTCCTGACCTGTTTCATTGTCTTTTGATCAAATTGCAAAGCAAATGCATAAAAAAAAAATCATGTCTCTTTTATCTCATACCAACTGTGGTAGGCAGGTACTGGGTGGGGTGTCATTGTTCTTATTCATTGGAGAGAGGCACAAAAAGAGATTTGCAAGAGTCTTTGTCTAAGGTGGTGGGGAAACAATTACTCCTAGGTGTCTTAAGCCTCAGTCTCAACCTCAGTAGGGATCCACTGGTCGGGTTACTCCTTTCTGTGCAACAAAGAAAAGCAGCAGTTATTAATTCCTTCCCATGAAAGCCAGTTCTCACCATGTGCATGTGAGAGGACCATGCAGATCCACAGGCTCAGGTAGGGGACCTCTATGAGACCCCACCCTGAATTTCTACTCGATTGCCTGTCTCTGAGAGGCCAGCAGAATCTATACCGCACAGCTCTTTGGGAGTGGCAGCCCCTAGTGCGACCTGCTCTGTCCCTACTATGTGAGATAAGAATGCAGAATAAGTTTACAGGACTGACTGAAACTTTACCAGGACCTGTGCTGACCATAGAAGAGAGTGCATAAGAGAGAAAGCATAGGTGCATAGGAGTCTCTTCCACTGACCTGAGGGTGGTGAGGAGTTGCTTATATAAAGCATGAGTGGTCTACACAAGCACACTCCCTGCATTTTGAGAACCTGCTAGAGAACTTTTCCAGTAATGAGGGGCAGTTGCAGGCCCAGGGTGGGATCACAGAAGTGGCTGCAGGGTGGACTCATCTGGGAAAAACCAAAGGTTCAAGCCTGCTCTGGCTGAGGCAGGTTCTCCTGGAACAAGAGAGTGACCATGACCTCAGCTGTTATGGCAGTTTCCAGAACTTTAGGAAAAGCTGCTTGGTTGACAGCTGCCTTCTTTCTCCAAATATATCTGATATCACAGCTACTACTGCTTTTGAGGAGTTTCCAGGAAGGCTGATGCATTGGTCATGAACCATTGGAGTTTTGGAGCTTTGGAGACATTCACAGTTGCCTGTGCCCCATCTTTCCCTGTCAGGTATTTCTATCTTCTCCTACAAGGTGGTGCGTACCATGCACCCTGGGGTCTCTTGCTACTCGTGGGTGACTTTGGGGCTCTAGCGTGTGCCAGCAGGAGCC